CGAACTCAATTAATTTAATTAATTTGATTATCTGGCAATTGAATGAATTAAATTAATTAAATTCATTAAATTAATTGAATTAATTAAATAATTTTTGAGGTGTTTCCTGAGGATCACATAGAGAATCTTTCGGATAATTAAATTAATTAAATTAATTAAATTAATTAAAATAAGTAAATTAATTAAATTATTTTTCAATTTCTTCGAATTCAATTAATTTAATTAATTTAATTATCTGGCAATTGAATTAATCAAATTAATTACATTGTTTTCTTAATTTATTCACGTTCAATACTCCTAATTGAATTTAATTAATTAAATTATTTGAATTAATTTGATTATTATTCATAGTACTAGCAACAGCTACGACGCAAAATAGACCCTAAAGGTCCCTCTCTCATACATATATACATATATACATATACACATATACTATATACATATATACATATATACATAGATACATAGATACATAGATACATAGATACATAGATAAATATATACATATATACATATATACATAGATACATAGATAGATAGATAGATAGATAGTGTATTATCTTTTTTAAAATTAAATAGCATATTATCATATACAATTTTCACAATAATAAATATAGTTAAATAACAATTTGTTGTATACATGTTTATATAACAGCATATGATTTATATCCAACCTTTGAAAACACAGACAGGCTGCTATTTGCAGTATTTGCAGTGTCTGACAACGCAGAAATGCTGCCATTTACAGTATCTGAAGCCTCTGAAAACACAGCAATGCTGCTATTTAGCGCCCTTCGTTGCAGCGTCTGAAAAACCCAGAAATGCTGCTACATACATTTTATGTCAGAAATGCTGCTACGTACAGTGTTTGCAGCCAACGCAATGCAGAAATTCTGCTATTTACAGTATGTGAAGCTTCTGACTACGCAGAAATGCTGCTATTTGCAGTATTGGAAGCCGCTGACAACACAGAAATGCTGCTATTTACAGTCTTGGAAGCTTCTGACAACGCAGAAATGCAGCTAGTTACAGTATTTGAAGCCTCTGACAACGCAGAAATGCTGCTATTTATAGTATTGGTACAGAATTTGCAGCCTCTGACAACGCAGAAATGCTGCTATTTACAGTATTTGCAGCCTCTGACAACGCAGAAATGCTGCTATTTACAGTATTTGAAGCCTCTGACGACGCAGAAATGCTGCCATTTGAAGTATTTGAAGCCTCTGACAACGCAGAAATGCTGCTATTTACAGTATTTGCAGCCTCTCTAAACGCAGAAATGCTGCTATTTACAGTATTTGCGAAGCCAAGCTGAGCCACACCTTTTAAAAAAAAACACGTCCGAGCCACACCTTTAAAAAAAAAAAACCCTCCCGCCGTTTAGGGATCCTCTGCCTATGCTGTTACCGGCTGTGCGACTTCCTCATTTGCAGTGTTTTGTAAAGCCCGGCAACCTCCCAAAACCCTAGACCCTGAACTCTGACCAACCCTAAACCCTAAACCCTACACCCTAAACCCTAAACCCTAATCTGGAAACTCCTACAGCCTCATCCCCTAAAGAGGCACTCGAAACGGAAGTCCTTCGCCGTGAGCCCCGTGTGGCCTGGCCTCACAGTTTACTTGGAGATTCATGGTACTCATACAAAAACTATAACTGTACTTATGACCCACTTAGAAGCCCCTTAAGTGCCCTAATATGGTTATAATTACGTTATAAGTACAGTTATATTACTTGGTTAATACGTACCATGAACCTCCAAGTAGGGTTTCCGGTTAAGTTTCCCCCCCCCCCCCCCTTGAACTTTAAGGCATGGTGGGTCCCCCCTTTATACGCCAAATCTACTGAACCTTTTGAAAAGTACCCCCAAACAATAGTAAGGGACCTTTCATTTTCGGAAGTCCCGATATCGTGGCCCGAAGGGATAAGGTGTAGGATTGTTGTGCTTATCGCTTAACCCTCCTTAGAAAAAAGTCATTCAAACGCCTGTGGTTCACCTACAGACTTATACCCTAGCATGCTGCAGTTGGGATACTGCGCTCCTGGTAAATCGATGCAAGAGTCACGGACGTTCAGATCCGCTAATCTCCAAAACCTTTTCGGCCCCACTTTGCAATAAACCCTGAACCCTAAACCCTAAACCCCAAAACCCCCCCCCCCCCATGCACCCTAAACCCTCAGCCCGAAGGCCCTGAGCCCCCTCAGCAGAGTCATACTCGGACCCCTGAGGATGCCCGGAGTAGGCCCTTGTTTGAAGCAGGGTATATATTTCTGTTTTTGGTCAGTGTATATAAGGTTCCTTTTCAATATCGGTGAGTGGTATCTATTTGGTGTCCTTTTGGGGGTACAAGAAATATAAACCCTACTTCATTTGTTTTTTTAGGGTTGGGGGTTCCCTTGAAAAGCCTTTAAAACCAAAGAGGGCACCCCTTTGATTCCTAGGTTGCTCCTGGGTCTCGAACATGGGCCCACATCTTTCCCTTAGGAACCCCCCTAAACCCTAAACCCTAAACCCTAAACCCTAAACCCTAAACCCTAAACCCTAAACCCTAAACCCTAAACCCTAAAGGTCCAAGCCCAAAGGCTGCCACCTTCAGGGTGTAAGGGGATGTCCCTTGAGGTCGACCCACACTTCATGGTCACGCTGGGCGGGATGTCTATGGAGGTCGGGCGGTTTAGGGTTTGGGGTTTAGGGTTTAGGGCTTAGGGTTCAGAATCTCATGTCCAAGCCCTTCACTAGTCAAGCAGCTTGTCAAGCGTTGGAAAAAAACCCCACCCACCCAAGAAAACCCATAACATTGAGAAAATACAAAGTTCATTCAATACATTTTCAGTAGGCTTATAGCTCAAAAGTCCGCCCAAAACCTAAAATCTAACTTTTTGGAAGCAAACTTTCCCTCTTAAGGGGGGTCGGAGTTGGAGGAAGCTCGGTTTGAGTCAAAAACCCAGAAAACGAGAGGCCACCCAGAACCGTCGATTTCAGTACTAAAAAATCGCATTTTTAACTGGGACCCGGGCCGATCCTGGGGTCCCCCCTCATTTGGGGTGTTTTTGGAAGCAAACTTTCCCTCTCAAGGGGGGTCAGAGTTTGAGGCAAGGGGGGGTCTCCAAGACGATTTTGCCTTTAAAATTGAAAAACACGACCCCCCTTGACCAAAACTAGGCCGTGAAAGGGGTGGCCCGTCATCAGAATTGAGGGTTAAAAACCCTGAAACACCCTGAAAAACATTGGAAAACCTTAACAAACACGGAAAAACTTTGAAAAACCTTGACAGAAGGGTGAAAAAACTTGAAATCCTGAAGCCGGTGAAGCTCGGTTTTGGTCAAAAATCCAGAAAACGACAGGCCACCCAGAACCGTCGAATTCAGTACTAAAAAATTCGCATTTTTAACTGGGACCCTATTTGGGGTCTTTTGGGAGGCAAACTTTCCCTCCCAAGGGGGGTCGGAGTTTGAGGCAAGGGGGTCTCCGAAGACGATTTTGCCTTTAAAATTGGAAAATACGACCCCCCCCCCCCCCTTGACCAAAACTAGGCTGTGAAAAGGTCGCAGGGGTGGCCCGTCATCAGAATTGAGGGTTAAAAACCTTGAAACACCCTGAAAAACATTGGAAAACCTTAAAAAACACTGAAAAACTTTGAAAAACCTTGACAGAACGTAAAAAAACTTGAAATCCTGAAGCCGGTGAAGCTCGGTTTTGGTCAAAAACCCAGAAAACGAGAGGCCACCCAGAACCGTCGATTTCAGTACAGAAAAATCGCATTTTTAACTGGGACCCTTGCCGATCCTGGGGTCCCCCTCATTTGGGGTGTTTTGGAAGCAAAATTTAGCCCTAAACCCTATGCCCCAAACCCTACGAGCCCTAAACCCTATGCCCCAAATGGAAAAACCGTTTGCCCACGAAGGGGGTCAGGGTTTAGGGCCCAGAAAAAAAACCGTTTGCCCACGAAGGTCATTAGGGTTTAAATATACAAAGTAAGAGAGGGTTTAGGGTTTCGGTTTAGGGTTTAGGGTTTAGGGTTTAGGGTTTAGGGTTTAGGGTTTAGGGTTTAGGGTTTAGGGTTTAGGGTTTAGGGTTTAGGGTTTAGGGTTTAGGGTTTAGGGGATCCCCCTGGCCTGCAGATGACTTGGAGGGGCCTCCCATCCTCAAGCCACCCATGTGGGGGTTACCCGACTTCGGTGTACCTTCTTGGGGTTTTTATAACAAGGGAATCCTACTATTGTTTTCTCTTTGGGAGGGGCCCCATGTGTTTAGGATTTCGGCTTTAGGGCTCGGAATTCGCCATCTGGGAAGGGGGAGGGGGGGCCCTCGTTCTAGGGAGGGTTTCAAAGGAGCTTCGGGAGTAGCTTTTAGACATGTCATGTTCGGTTTAGGGTTTAGGGTTTAGGGTTTAGGGTTTAGGGTGGCTCCATCATAGGTGGGCCCCCGTGGCTTTCTCCAACGCCATGCATCCAGAAGAACCCATGGTCTGAGACTAAGCCCTAAACCCAAAACCCAAAAGCCCAAGCCCTAAACCCAAAACCCTAAACCCTAAACCCTGAACCCTAAACCCTAATCCCTAAACCCTAACCCAAAGCCCGAAATCTGAGACTTTGCAACACAGCCTCGACTTTCGTGCTCACTGCGGCTCCATGACATGCCGGCCATCCTTCATGGCTCTCCTTCGTTTTTTCAAGCCTACAGGAGGACCCTAAACCCTAAACCCTAAACCCTAAGCCCTAAGCCCTAAACCCTAAACCCTAAACCCGGTCCCCTGGCGATGCCACGACTCGATAGGTTTACGGTTCACGGTTTACGGTTTACGGTTTACGGTTTACGGTTTACGGTTTAGGGTTTAGGGTTTAGGGTACTTTGGGGTTTACCTAAAGGGTCCAATACTTGACCCCCAAAGTCCCTATATAGGAAGCACTTTTGCCCAAGTATTCCCTTTTGAGGTACATGGACCTGCAGGGTTGTGGGACTTAGGGAATAAATCTCTGTCGAGCTCATTCTGATATTCCCATGGAAGAGCCGAGGGAAACATTAACATGGCAAGGATTGATGCGGGATCGCTTTGGCTGTCTTTGGCAGAGGGCGCGCTGGGATGATGACTTGACACAAATGGACGCAAGAGATGTGTGGTGGTGTGAGCCTACTGGCAATGGAAGGAGCTCTGCAGAGGTATACTACCGTGTCGACGCGCCACACTCCCCATGTACGATCCCCTTCGAGGGTTTCCACACAGACGAGCCAGGAAGTCATCAGCAGTGTGAAATTCAAATCGCCGAGATGCTGAAGCACATTTTGAGATGCGGCATACCACAAGACTTGTGCTTGATGATGTGTGCCATGCTGCCAGCCAAAGACCTGCGAGCCTTCAGTTGCTTAACCAGTCGCTTCCGCTCCGCGAGCACACGCGCTTGGAGCGATTCGGCGGTTGACAACGCAAGGTCGCTCTTAGCCATCATGCGAAAGGACCAGCCTGAATTCCTTGCACAATGTATTGCAGATTCTGGCATGTGCAAAGCTACCTTGGGAAAAGCGCTCCTAGAAGCGACTGACAAAGGCAGAATCTACCGTCGCCATCGCTGCTGCAGATTGTTGGGAGAAGTTGGTGCCGTGATTAGCGTGGAAGATGCTGTTGTGGTGATGGGTGGTGAAAAGATGGGCATTCATGAATACCATGCTGGCATGTACCTCCGTTCTTTTCCTGAACAACCTGACATCCGCGTGTGCTATGCAGATGACTATCGGGAAAATTGTCTGGAACTTAAGGTCCCATCCGACGATCGGGGAAACTGTATGGAAATGGACCTTAGCGCACACAGAAGACTAGTTATCCCCGAAACCTGGAAGGAACCTTTTTGGTGTCATCAAGACGATGGTGGGTACGAGCTTGTCCACGTGGCACTTTCCTCGAGCCTTGTCCCCCCCTCGGAGGGCTGGTACGGGATTCTTCATTACGCGGGGATCCCGCCCATTCGGACGAGGCCGGTGACGCTTGGAGACTTGCTTGATGCAGGGCCCAAAGGAAGCGGCCCAATGCTGCAAGAAGAGGAGGTCGAAAGAAGACACGGAAAGTACTCCCAGAGTTTTTTGAAACGCAGGCGCGCAACAGCTCGACCACCGCAGTGGATACCCATGAGTTGAACCTTCCAGCAGCGAGCCATGCGAAAGGAAAGGAGCACAAAGTAGAGTCCGATTCTGTGGTATTTAAGTTCGACTGGGAGGGCCCAGGGTTTAGGGTTTAGGGTTTAGGCTTTAGGCTTTAGGGTTTAGGGCTTAAGACATACAGCCTAAGTTAAGCGGCAGCTTTGCGCCGCCCTCAGAAGTAGTGCTGGTTGAACTCAGAGGTGGGTGGCCAGGGGCACTTGCATTTCGGGGGGCCGACACCCCGAGTTGGAGCCTTGATAGCACTACCCCTAAGGGTCCATGTACCCAACTAGGGAATACTTGGGCCTTATAGTACTTGCTATTTAGGGACTTTGGGGCCCAAGCATATAATAATAATTTCTAAACCCTAAACCCTAAACGCTAAACCCTTAGGGTACTACTTGGGAACTAGGGGCGGAAGTTCGGAAGCCAGATCCTAATTAAACCAGAAATCCTCAACCCTAATCCGCCGGAAGACCCAGTTGGCCCATGTTCCCCTTGTTCTGGCGGGGGGAGAGGGCCATGGTTCCGTACTAAATGTAGGGCACGGGCTTTAGGGTTTACGGTTGGGGTCTGAAAGGTTTTTCAGTTTTCGGGTTTAGCTTGAGGCTTCTGGGTTAGTTTTTTGGGGGCCACGGATGAATTCGGGTTAAGGGTTTGGGGTTTAGGGTTTAGGCTTTGGGGTTTAAAAGTGGTTCTGTTGGATCCAAATTCTCACCAACCCGCTCCTCTCACAAAAGGCGCATGCGCTCTCCGTGCTGCTGCTGCAGGTTCTGATCATGCAGGCGGGGTTGAGGGTTCATGGCTTGTGCGCGGAGCTCGGGCGGATGGCCATTAAGGTTTAGGGCTTCGCTTTAGGGTTTAGGGTTTAGGGTTTAGGGTTTAGGGTTTAGGGTTTAGGGTTTAGGGTTTAGGGTTTAGGGTTTAGGGTTTAGGGTTTAGGGTTTAGGGTTTAGGGTTTAGGGTTTAGGGTTTAGCAGGTCGTGTGGAGCCCCCGACTGAAAACAGCCCTAAACCCTGATGTTTACCCAAAACCCATCTACAGTTTTTTGTTTTGGTGAAGGTCTTGCAGATATCAAGCAGATCGGAAGTTTTAGTTGTGTAAGCAGGGCGATGTTGACTCTGCAGCGAGTACTCTCTGAAAATCAAAACCCTGACCTCTGAACCTTCCATACCTCCGCCACTCACTGGCTCACCCAGAGTAGGCCCTTATTCCCCGCTGTTTTCAGGTTTAGGTTCCCTTATAAGCCCCTTTAAACCAAAAAGAATACCCTGTTTATTCCTAGGTTCCTGTCGGGTCTAGTTTAATGTAGGCTTAGCAGCTTAGCATTGGTTTGCAACGTAATGCTTGATGCGAAGCCCGCAACCTTAACCCTTAAGGCAGTCTTTCGGACACCCAGTGGTATCTTTATTCCTTTCAACCGCTACTCAGTTTGAAACGGCCTGTACGATCCTTGATAATCCCCTCCCCCCCGCCCACCTGAACCCGAAACTCAGCTCCATGGCACCCCCTCTACAACCCCCACCCCCCCCCCCCCCCCCCCCCCCCCGGCACCCCTAAGCCCAAAAGACGAAAGCCCCCCCCGCCCCCCCCTCACCCACTGAAACCCAAAACCCCTTAGCCCCTTAAACCCAGTGCCAGGTGGTGGTTGTCTTTATCCTGGTTGCCTTTGGAGGGCCTCGGAGCTCTCAGGACAGGGTTCCCACGCTGCCTTTGAAGAGGGTTTACTGGGGTTCCACATCACCAGAGGCGGTTTGGGGTCCAGGGTTGGACTTTACAGGATTTAGGGTCTAGGGTCTATGGGGTTTGGGATTGGGTGTTTAGAGTATACCTGGAGGTTCATGAGTACTTAGATAACCCCAATTATCAGTCTATGTGGACCGAATGAACCCAATGTTTAATTAGGCTTCATATACCTTATCATGGGGGTTAGTATGGGGTAGCTGACCCCAAGAATTGGGTTCATGTGGTCCACAGGGTACTTGGATGGGGTTTCTACGCATAACCTACTTAGGAGACCTTGGGGGGCTTATTAATGATAAGTACAGTTATACTTGTGGATGTAAATACCCATGAACCTCCAAGTACGGTCTAGAGGGCTTGGTTGCGGTGGAGGGCATGCGCAAGTTTGGAGGGTTTGATGCCTAAACCCTAATCCCTAGTCCCTAAACCCTAAACCCTAAACCCTAAACCCTACGTAAAAACCATCCGAAGCACATCTGTACTGCACCTGACTTGAAGTTCCCAAGGGTCAACTTTCCCGCCCCTGTTTTAGGGTTAGGGTCTAGGGTTTAGGGTTTAGGGTTTAGGGTTTAGGGTTTAGGGTTTAGGGTTTAGGGTTTAGGGTTTAGGGTTTAGGGTTTAGGGTTTAGGGTTTAGGGTTTAGGGTTTAGGGTTTAGGGTTTAGGGTCTTGTAGGGGTTTAGAGTTCACGGTTTAGGGATGCAGGGGTTGAGGGTTGAGGGCTAGGGTTTAGGGATGTAGGAGTTTAGGGTTCAGGGTTGAGGAAGCCCCTGGGGCTGGATTGGACACCGCCACCCTCGAGGGCAATCGTAAGTACGAAGCTCCTGCAGAAGAGCACCAGACTCCGAACCCTAGTTGACCGGGTTCTAAAGGGAGGGGGGGTTCAAGGGCGGTATGCAACCCAAGGTTCCCTAATACTCCCCACAACTCATGAACCCCGCTCCCTTACGAAACCTATAGCTGCTACCCTGAAGCTCTAAAGCCACGCAAGCTCTGGAGCCCTGCACGCCTGAACCCCTCGAGCCAGCAAAGCCCTAGACCGCCTAGACCCCTAAAACCATCAACACCTGCAACCCCCAAACCCCACAAACCTCAACCGTAGATTCCTGGAACCCTAAACCCTAAACCCCCCTAGCCCTAAACCCTAAACCCTAAACCCTAAACCCCAAACCCCAAACCCCAAACTGCCCAAGCCAGCCTCTCGAGGAGAGCATCCGTGCGCGGCTGCTCTTCAGCCCTCTGGGAGTGGCTCTTCAATGCTGTGGGGAACCCTAAACGGTTTAGGGTTTAGGGTTTAGGGTTTAGGGTTTAGGGTTTAGGGCGTTTAGGGTGTTTGGAGCATTTAGAGCCGGGTTTGGGGGGTTCAGGGGGCTTAGGGTTTGTAAAGGTTGTTCGTAGCCTTAAAAAGAGGACCTCAGACTTTTCGGTGTCTTCAAGGCATGGCATGGCGTGTGAAAAGTCTGAGTTTCGGGTCAGGTTTTTGTCGGAGTCCGTATACATTTTGTCGGATCCTTGTCGAAGATCAGGCACAGACCCAGAAAGAGCTACTCCTTGCATGCCCCGTCTGCGTCCCTGGGTCCATGTATCTTATCATTCTTATTATTATTGTTATTATTATCATTATTATTATATGTGTGAGCCCCAGCGTCCCTAAATAGGAAGTACTAGGCCCAAGTAATCCCTATTCAGGCACGTGCGCCCTTAGAGCATGTCTTTAGATTGATGCAATGCGGTGTTTTTTTTGGCGTGTACTTGAACTATCTATTGGCCCCATGACACCCAGGGGCTCTGTGCCATGTAAAGCCTGTAGCCTACCTTGTTACCTGATTTAAATCCTGTAAATCCAGCCCCAAAGTATGACGGGCCTCAAAGAAGTCCTATACAAGCCCAAAAGACCAGACCTCTGCAAGCCTAGGCATCCTCGATGAGCCCCCATAAGCCCAATCAGTTTCCTCATATGCAAAGACCGGAATTCCAATCTTGGGGAAAACTTAAGAGGGTCCATGTACCTAAATACGGAGTACGTAAAGTACTTCCTATATGGGGACTTTGGGGCCCGAGTACACAATAATAAGGTGCATGGAGCCTTACAAATCCTAAACCCTAAACCCTAAACCCTAACCCTAAACCTTTGGGGCACAAGGGTTTAGCTACTAAAGACCTTTTTGCCCAACACCGGCGCTGGACTGACAGGGTTCGGCGTGACGCTGCCCCAGGATAGCAAGCTGGTTGGGGCCTCAGCAGGTTTAGGGTTTAGGGTTTAGGGTTTGGGGTTTGGGGCTTAGGGTTTGGGGTTTAGGGTTTAGGGTTAGGGCCTCTGAGACGGTTGTTCCCGAATCCCACAATCCCGAAGTCCCATACAGTATACACCCCGAAGCATTTAGGGCCCAAGACCCAGAGCCCTAGCCCAAAACCCCAAAAGACAGCAGGGTTTAGATTTGGGGTGTTCCCTGTTGTTTGGACCGAAGTTCCTAAGTGCTTCTTTGATCCAGAGTTCGTGGTAGAGGCCATGTGGAGGTCGGGGTTCAGGCCATAACTACTGCACACAAGAAGACTTCGCTACACCCAGCATACTGAGAACCCTAAACCCTAAGCCCTGAGACTATACATCATCCGGCTACATTCCCAAATCATCTCGGCAGTATCCCATGAGCAGGCCTAAACGGGGCAGATCAAACCCGAAACCCCTATATTAACCTTTAAATCCCAAAATGGTTCAGGGCTTAAACCCTAAACCCTAAACCCTAAACCCTAAACCCTAAACCCTAAACCCTAAACCCTAAACCCTAAACCCTAAACCCTAAACCCGCCCTCAAAGCAGCCCCGGACGCCGGAACCAGAAACTCCCCTCTGTGGCCTAAGCGGCCAGGGATTTGAGCTCGAAACTTTGGGTTTAGGGTTTAGGGTTTAGGGTTTAGGGTTTAGGGTTTAGGGTTTAGGGTTTAGGGTTTAGAGTTTAGGGTTTAGGGTTTGGGGTTTAGGGTTGGGGCTTGAGGGCCTATAGATCCTAAACTCTATAGAACCGAAAACCCAAACCCTAGCCTTAACTCCCGAAGCCCATGATTTTATAATGCCTGGTGGTCTCTTTAAGTAGGGCTTCTGTTTTGCAGGGGGTTCTTACTAGGGTATCTAGGGGCGATACTAAGGTACAAGGGTAACACATAAAAACGGCCTTTTAGAACCTTTGATGCTTTTCTGCTCTCAGACCTCTTGGCTACTGGCCATTCGACCAGTCCCCTCCGCAGAAGCTCCTG